CCGTGGCACTCACCCTTGCATGTTATTGTGAGCAATGAGTGGGATGATGTATAAAGTACTTATCAGAGTGTCTGGTATACATCAGTGCTTGCTCAATGAAATCCACAGGAGATAGCAGTTGCAGGAAACAGAGCTTGAACTCTGGAGTGAAGAGCTAGGTCAGAAATTAAATTAGCCCCACTGCCTAAAAAATACATGACTTTTGTTAGTTGACTCGGTTTCTTCCAGCGTCAGTTCCTTTATCTGTAAATGGGAATACTAATGTTTATCTTGTAAGGTTGTTTTGTGATTTAAATAATTTAATGTATTTAAAGACCCTAGTTCACCACTTGGCATCTAGGAGGAGCTAAAAAATGAAACAGTTCTTAGTCAGGTTTCCCTTTAACAATATTGCTAGGAGGAGCTAAAAAAATTATAACAGTTCTTAGTTAGGTGCCCCTTTAACACTATTGCTACACTTAAAACAACCAATTTGGCCAGGAGTGGTGGCTCACACCTGTAATCCCAGCACTTTGGGAGGCCAAGGCAGGTAAATCACTTGAGGTCAGGAGTTCAAGACCAGGCTTAACAACATGGTGAAACCCCATCTTTACTAAAAATATGAAAAAAAATTAGCCAGGCATGGTGGTGCATGCCTTTAATCCCACCTACTCGGGAGGCTGTGGTAGGAAAATCACCTGAACCCGAGAGGCAAAGGTTGCATTGAGCCAAGATCACATCACTGCACTCCAGCCTGGGCGACAGAATGACTCTTCCTAAAAAAAACAAAAAACAAAAAACAAAAAAAACAAAAAACACGACCAAAAATACCCCCCAAAAAGAAAACAATTCATTTGCAAATGATGTTTGGGATATGACCATTAATAAGTTCTTATATATTATACAACTTCCTGTATACTGTATCACCTGTGAAATGTAACCACCTTGTATGTTAAAATAATTTTGTAAAAAATATTTGAGCACTATTTTTCCTTTTCTTTTGCTAGACTATGAGTTCCTTGAAGGCAGGGGCCATGTCTTATGTGCCCTTTATTCCAGATCACTTTCAAACACTTCAGAATCTCAGTTGAATCGAATTTCTCTTTTGTTCTTTATGCCAACAGTGAGATGATAATCTCCCTAACATTCCTCAATTAGCAATTAATAATTAGCCAATTGATAATTAGGAGGTAGACAGGGCAAAAAATAACCCCATCTCTGCCCTGAAAGGTCTTTTCTTTTTTGTCCATCACACATGGCTCATATTCCTGCCTCCTCGGTTCTGGTTCTTGCTCCGTTAACGAAACTATTCCATCAGGGAACATAACTTGGTTTTCTGGAATCTACTATCCTCCCTGGTAACAACCTATATAGAGAGGCCATGGAGGAAGAATTTCCTGAAACCCCAACATTTGAGCCATAATTTGATGCCTCTTAGGATTCAAAGAGGCCTCAGACCTGTGACTTTTAAACATTTGGGGAGTATAGGATCCTTTAAGAATCTTCTGATAGTTACGGACATTCTCTGCAGAAAAATACATTCAATACCTTAGTACAATTTCAAGGTGTTCTCAAAACCCCTGAAGCCCTTGGGTCCCAGATTAAAAGAATTCTTGTTAGAATAGCCAAGAAAAGGGAATCAGCAATGTGAATGATTCCGGTTTCCTGGTAAGTTCTAGCCCTGACTAGTCACTCTCCCTTGCTGAAAACAAAACAAAACAAAACAAAACAGAACAAAACACAGCAATGACAACTCCCAAGATTTAACCTCAAGGTTATCCCTGAGAGTCCAAACCTGGGCAGTAATGGCAAAGGGCTTCCAGCCAAGCAGTAACTACTCTTTGGAGAACCTAAGTTAAGCTGAGTAAAATAAGCCTTGTTTGATAATACCGTTTACATTTCCAAATCCTGGGTATCAAGCTTTCTTCCTATCCCTTGCGGCCCTTCCTAAGTTTAGCCGCTGGTGTAATGGGGTAACCATGGCAACAACCACCTGCCTATTTAAAACCATCTCCAATGCTAAATAAGGAAGCCTGAAGAAAATGGCTGCTTGCCTGCCTCTCAGTGGACAAATTGGGCACTCCTGGGTATTTTAGACACGGGCGAATAGGCAGGGTAGAAGCAGTATGTATGCAAAGCTCCTCATAGGAAGCATTTGGTGACCTGGTGAAATAGGTGCTACTTCAGCCCTTCTGTCTTCAGATGTTAGGCAAGCACACAGGTTTATGTGCAAATCCGTGTGCCTGTCACCACGTCACCCATGCTACCTTGACCTCAATCAGGTGAAGAGTGAGGTGAGAACCTACCCTCAAAGAGTAGTCTTGTTTATGGGATCTTGGAAGGGAGAAGGAAAAACAGTTCTACAGATCACAGTGAATTCGTTCATACTTTGCATTAAAATGCACACTACAATCTTTTTTTTTTTTTCTGACTGATGTGTCTTTCTAATTGTACTTAATCATGTGGGTGATGGATGATTGCTCTATTTATGTCATATGTTGGCCTGCCTATTGATTTTTGGCATATGGAGAAATTTCTCCCTCCCTCTGCTTCCTTGCTTTCTGGGAATTACAGAGGTTTGGTTTCTTTCCCCTGCCGAGACCATACAACTGATCACGCTGAACATCTTGCTCTTCCACAGTATACTGTACCCTCTCACTCCTTCGTATCTTTTCGTACATTTGCTTCCTTCTCCCTGTGTTGCCCTCCTCTTTTTCTGTGTCTTGGTTCAGTCATCTCTGTCACTGGAAAACCCTCCATGCCATGTTTCATGTCCTTGGTTTTTGCTCCCACAGGTCACTTCTAGTCACATCCCTTAACACAAACCATTCTGCACATCTGCTTGCCAGCCTGTTTCCAGCACCGGGCTGAGTCCCCTACATGGGTCTGTCCAAAACGCCTGTAGAACAGTGCCTGTTGTGCATTACGTTTTCAAAAGATCTGTTGAATGAATGGATGAATGAATGAACAGAGCCCCACGGCTTTCACAAGTGTATGGTACATGTGCATGAGTACGTACAAGGCTACTTGTGTGAGGCCGGGTGCGGTGGCTCAAGTCTGTAATTTCAGCACTTTGGGAGCCTGAGGTGGGCAGATCACTTGAGGTCAGGAGTTCGAGACCAGCCTGGCCAAGATGGTGAAACCCTGTCTCTACTAAAAATACAAAAATCAGCCAGGTGTGGTAGCGGGCGCCTGTAATCCCAGCTAGTTGGGAGGCTGAGACGGGAGAATCACTTGACTCAGGAGGTGGAGGTTGCAGTGAGCCGAGATTGCCCCACGGCACTCCAGGCTGAGCAATAGAGTGAGATGCCACTGGGAAAAAAAAAAAAAAAAAAAAAAAAAGGCACTTGTGTGGAAAGAGGACTTTAAAAGTCTGAGGAATGAGTCGGAGAGGAGTACTTTTTAAAAAAGTGGTTTGTGTATATCTGGGAGTGCAAAAGACTGTTAGAGGAGATCACCTGAACTGTAAGTTTGTGACTACAGTGTCAGGGGCTGGAAGTACACATGTTCCTAGCGTGCAGTGAGTGTGTAGAGTCTGTGCGTGTGACAGCAAGAAGACACTGTGATAGGATGCACTTCCTAAAAGGTTCATTCAGCTACTATCACATCTCATAGATCACTCTTCCTGAAGCTGCAGTGTTCAATATCTGACCTCTGAAAAGACCTCCTTCTTATTGGTTGACCTCTCAGGCTGTGGGGTCAGGACAAAGAGTAGGAGTGAAAATGGCAAGTGCTGAAAATGATGGGTACAGGCTTTAAATGAATGTCCTCAGTGAACGCTCTAACCTCTCTTTTAAAGACAATTCTTGCTTGTAATCCCAGCACTCTGGGAGGCCGAGGAGGGCAGGTCACTTGAGGTCAGGGGTTTGAGACCAGCCTGGCCAACATAGTGAAACCCCATCTCTACTAAAAATACAAAAGTTAGCTGGGCATGATGGCACACGCCTGTAGTCCCAGCTACTCAGGAGGCTGAGGCAGGAGAAAGGTTTGAACCTGGGAGGAGGAGGTTGCAGTGAGACTAGATTGTGCCACTGCACTCTGGCCTGGGTGACGGAGTGAGATTCTGTCTCATAGATAAAAAATAAAATAAATAAATAAATAAATAAAGACAATTCTCTGGGCTAAACAAAAGTCAACATCTTCAGGTTCAAAGACAAAGTCCAAATCATTATCCATCCTCCTCCTCACCTACCTAGGGCTGGGGTGGGAACAGTGCCGAAATAGTGGTCATCTTGAAATAGTACAGCAAAGAAAAAGAAAGAATGAAAATTAACCAATGAGAAGAAAGAGAGAAAGAAGGAAGAAGGGAGAAAGGGGTAGCTATATGTCAGTCACAACTCAGTTCTGGCAAATTTTCTCCTACAAGGAAGAAGGGTTTGCTTTCGTTTGCAAATGACCTCGTTTCCTCTTTCCTTTCATTTCTGAACCTAACTTGGCAACTTCACAGAGTGCCCAGGCTGAGGCTGGGACTTGGTGGGTTCCGGGTCTCCGGCCTTTGCAGGTACCTCTCTGCTACTGCCCTCTGCTGTCGGGGGAGGCCAAGGAGACGCCCTTCTGGTCCTCCTGGTCCAAGCCCCGGAGCTGCCACCTCCTCCCATTCAAGACCGACAGAAGTTAGGGTCTCTTCTAGCCTCCCCACCCTTCCACAAAAGAATCATGAGGGGCTGGGATTGGAAGCACTGTACTAGGAAGCAGAAGAGACTCAGGAGGGGGTTCCAGTTAGCCAAGGGCAGATACCCTCCCACCTCCTCCCCTGCAAAAGCAGGCCCTTCATACCCACCTCCTGCTTCCCAGCCCCTCCCTTTGCACAGATCTTTTGGGAGAGGACAGGCAGTTAGCCTGTGCCAAGTTGCTGAAATTTTTTTTTTCTTGGAAATGGAAACCCTCCTTCCGGCAATGTGGCAGGAAGGCCAAGTCCCTGGAGGCCCTGGCTGGGAACATTTCCGGAGAGCAGGTGAAAGGCCTCTGTTCCGCCAGGGCCACACTGGGTGGGTGGCAGTGCAGCCGGGCCTGCAACTTACCTGCTGTTGAATTTTTCAGGGTGTTTCTCTCTCATGACGTGGAATCTGTGTGCAATGGAAGCGTCCTGAAAGTGAAAGAGACAAAGCAGATCCTTGGTGAGTGGTCATGACAGTGCAGTGTGGAGGGAAGGGACACACACATGCCCTCGCTGAGTCATGCCAACCCTGGGACTCTATCGCATGGTGGGGCTCCAGGTCACATCCGCGGCACCAATAGAGGCTCAACACTGCCTCCAAGGGGATGAGCTAGCATCATCATACTCTTACAGCCTGTGCCAGTAGACTCTAGAGTCCTTGCTATTTCACTCTAGCCCAGGCCCGCCGAGAACAGATAGTTCAGGGGTGAGTGGAGGGGAAAGACTTTGCCCTTTGGGGAGACTGAGAGTCTGTGAGCACAGGACCCTGTGTCTGGGGCTGAGCATGAGTCTCTGGAAATGACTTTCCATAATAATTCTTTTTAAAATAGTTTTTACTTTGGAATATTTTGACTCACAGTAAGTTCCAAAAATAGCATGGAGTTCCTAGGTCCCTTTCACTCAGCTTCCCTCAATAATAACATTTTATATAACTATAGAATATTGTCAAAACTAGAAACCTGACATTGGTAGATGCTATTAGATATTAAGTCCTAACCATCCACACCAATAGAAATAATTAGTGGCGTTGGATAACATGCTTAATAGATAATAAAAGAAAACGAAACTCTGGCTTCTGCTTCTTGATCACTTCACTCGAAGGACTCTCTCCAAGACCAGTAAGAGTCATTACTATACAGTGTGGACACTGCCCTCCTATGAGCACATCCCTTTGCCACACTAGCGGCCCCCTTCACTCCAGCACTCACAGTTAGGAGGCTGTCATGACACTGTACCCCTGGGCTCTCCATCCTCTGACCACAACTTCCTAACCCTGGGTTCTACCTGTGGCCCCCACTCCACACTGTGGCCATCTCGTGAGTTCTCGCAGCTGTTATCAGCATCTGAATGGTGATAGCTTCAAAGTCTCAATCTCTAGAGCCAACCCTAAGCCTCAAACCTGAAACGGAACTCGTCTTTCCTCCTCAAACTCGATCTTCCACCCTTGACACTGGTCTCATTTCCCAGCAGAAGAATGTGTAACACCCCTTCACCGCTCACACCCCATGCTGGCACTTTGGGTGCAGGTGCTGGGTTTCAGAAATAAACAGGCTAATTGGACTGGAGATGGGGGGTGACACAGAAATCAGGGAGCTGACTAGATTTGTTTTGCAACGAAAAATATAGAAATCCATTTACTGGAATACATGGCTACAAGACACCAGAAATTCCATGCAGTGAATTTTCATCAAATGCATATTAATTCTGTTTCTTATATAAAAATTTCTGTGTGTTTGGTTTTTTAAAATTTTAAAAATTTTTTAATTTTTAAATTTTTTTTTTTGAGATAGAGTTTCACTCTTGTCACCCAGGCTGGAGTGCAGTGGCGCGATCTCGTCTCACTGCAACCTCTGCCTCCCAGGTTCAAGCAATTCTTCTGGCTCAGCCTCCCGAGTAGCTGGGATTGCAGGTGCCCACCACCACACCCAGCTAATTTTTGTATTTTTAGTAGAGGCAGGGCTTTGCCATGTTGGCCAGGCTGGTCTCAAACCTCAGGTGATCTTCCCTGCCTCGGTCTCCCAAAGTACTGGGACTATAAATGTGAGCCACTGCACGCAGCCTCTGTGTGTGTTTTTAAGCATCAAGAGGTATAGTTCTATGAAGAAGCTTTTTGAGCATGAACTCTGTGTGGTGAGGTGCACCAGGCACAGGAGTCCAGCAGCCCACATCTGAAAGGTGGCGAGGTAAGAGGAGAAGATGGGCTTATTTTGTGATTGGCAAACATTCTCTGCTAAAATGATGTTTTGAGAATTTAAAATTTAAACTTTAGCTTTTTTTTTTTTTTTTTGAGATAGAGTCTCACTCTGTCACCCAAGTTGGAGTTCAGTGGCACAATCTTGGCTCACTGCAACCTTCGCCTCTCGGGTTCAAGAGATTCTTCCGCCTCAGCCTCCTGAGTAGCTGGGATTACAGGCGCCTGTCACCATGTCTGGCTAATTTTTTTTTGTATTTTTAGTAGAGACAGTGTTTCACCGTGTTGGCCAGGCTGGTCTCAAACTCCTGGCTTCAGGTAATCCACCCACCTTGGCCTCCCAAAGTGCTGAGATTACAGGCGTTAGCCACCATGCCTGGCTGATTTATTTTTTAGTTTAAGATATATTAAGAGTTTAAGGTCTTGGAGAGGCATCCCCATGGGTGCACAGGTGAGATGTGCGGACCCCAGGGAGGCCTCTGTCCCCAAGGCCTGCCCGTCCTGCACCGCTTCCCTGGGCAGCAGCACTTCATGCTCCCAGACTGTGCCCACCTCCCACTCTCTCAGCAAATTCCAGTGAACACCCTCAATAAGATTCATATGGTATTTGTCAAATACTTCTCTAAAATTCAAGAAAATATTCCATCTACTTCTGTTCCTTTGAAGCACTAATTTTCTTCTGTCAGGAAAAAAAGAGCGGGGAGGGAAGAAAAAAGCAATCACATGTTGCCTGGCACAATTTGTACTTCACTATCCCCAACCCCCAATACTGCTGACTGACTCCCAGCTCTTTTATTCTCTGGGATACACGTACAGGCCCCCTCCTTCCGTAGAGTTCTGGCTGTCCTTGGTTTTTCCATAACTAGGTTTTGCAAAGCTGCTTTTCACAAAGACCAGCCTTTAAAACATTATTAGTGAAGCACGTGGTCCCTAATTTGACAATGTAATCCCTTGGCAAATACACAAAGTAGCAAGGGAGAGTAGAGCAGCTCCTTTTCTAAGTCTTAAAAAGGCTATGACGGTAAAGACTCTGAACACGTTTCTCTACCTGGGGATTAAAAAGAGAGTCGAGATTCACTTTCACTCTCTGGAGCTTCTATGTCAGGCAATGACCTGAGCCTATTTACAATCAGTAGTGACTTCATTTAAATTTGGGAAACCAGGGCTACGATGGTTCAAACCCTTTCTTGGTTATTAAGGTATAAACCCTTTCTTGATGATAATTAAGGCAAAGCGAGACTTCTGTTCTGAAGGCGGGAGATGAGAATTACAAATCCACGGAAGTGATGATAGCATTTTTCACAGCCTTGCTATCTGAGGTCTTTCTTTCAGGTGTGGAGTGAAGAGGAGACGGTGGAAGGTATGGACATAGGGCCTGTTTCCTGAACTCCAAGCACATGGGTGAACAAAGAAATTTGGGCCCCTTCCAAGTACATGTAGCAGTCATTTGGACTCTGAGATATTGGAATGTCTAGGCCAGTGCTATCCAATAGAAATATAGAGTAAGCTACATATGTAAATGTAACTTAACATTTTCTAGTAGCCACATAAAAAAGTTAAAAAAAAAAGATGAAGTTAATGTTTAAAAATTTTTTAAATTTTTTATTTTTTTGAGATGGAGTCTCACTCCACTGCCCAGGCTAGAGGGCAGTGGCATGATCTCAGCTCACTGCACGCTCTGCCTCCTGGGTTCAAGTGATTCTCCTGCCTCAGCCTCCCGAGTAGCTGGGATTACTGGCGCCCGCCACCATGCCCGGCTAATTTTCATACTTTTAGTACAGACGGGGTTTCACCATATTGGCGAGGCTGGTCTCAAACTCCTGACCTCAGGTGATCCACCCGCCTCAGCCTCCCAAAGTGCTGGGTTTACAGGTGTGAGTCACCATGCCTGGCCTGAAATTAATTTTAACTGTATATTTTCATTAACCCAATAAGCCCTGAATATTATCACATGGAATTAATAGAAACATTATTGAGACATTAAATTTTTATATCACATTTTTGAAATGTATTGTGTATTTTATACTTACAGCTCACTTGACATCTTAATTAAGACAAGCCCCATTTCAAGCATGTCATACCACACGTGGCTGATGGCTATTATATTGGATGACGCAGGTCTAAGTCACTTTGGCAATTTATGGAGATAAAAAGATCGAAAGGAGACCATAAGACAGATTATTTGAATTTGGGTTGGTCTGAAAATTATGGGAGATTGGGGAATGGAAAAGGGTGTAGACCCTTGTCCGTGTCCCTCTGGGGAGTCCCACTGTATTAGTATCTTCATGGCTCTCACAGGTGACAAATGAGAACTTGGTGCCGGCAGAATCCATGAATCTCCAGGAAAAATTATGTCTTGTTGAGAAATTCCCTATGTGTAGGATGCTTATCATGGGGAGAAGCTTGTCTAGTGATAGCTAGGAATGATCTGCAAAGTGGAAAATGGTGTGTGGGTCAGTGCGACCACTGTGGCCTCTCCTTGGCCCCTGGGCTCCCCTAGCATCAGAAATAGATTTCACTGAATCAAAGGATTAGCTGTTCACCCGTCCTGTTAAGGCTCATGAAAGCAGAGCTTGTGAGGAGTTCAGAGTTACACATACCTTGGGAATTATTCTGTAGTCTCAAACTTCCTGTCACTGATACCTGGCCATCCTGACATTTTCTGCTAATCCAAAAATAAAGAACAGGGAGGAGCAGGCCAGAGAAGTCAGAGGAAGTGGCATCCTGAATGACTGTGTTTAAAATCTCCTGCCAGTAGATATTGTCGGTTAGAAGGACTGATAAGGCCAACTATCTTAGCTTCTCACTGTTGAGAATCTGATGTGTGGATGGCGCTCTCGAAGCAATGAGAGCACAGTCACTCCTTGGAGAGGCCAGGAGACCCTGCCTTATTTATTGCCTTATCTGTTAAGTGGGTTCTATTGGCATCAACGGGTCCCAGTAAACTCATCAGAGAAAATTCTATCCACAGCACCAAGGGGCACTGTGTCAGGGGTCATTGTCATCATCTTTATAAATACAAAGCAACAGACATTTGATATCATAAGATATTCTAAGTCCTTCAAAAGAGGCAAAGACCTTGCAAGGCTCTCTTTGCCAATGGAGTCCACCTCTATTTGATCATCATAAGGAAGTAAAACTTCCTTGGTTTACACACCTACTTCTCTTACAAAGTTTGGGAAGTCAAATAGGGAGCAAGACCTTCTGCAAATGTCAGCCCCAGACTCTGTTAGGGTTGCGTGTTGGTTACTTGTTTTCTCAAGAATTTCTCTTTTCAACTTTTAAAGAGCGAGCATACAAACCCTGCAAACATTTTATTGAGAGAAAGCCAAGGGCACACCAATGAGATGAGAACAGCCCTGGTTTCTCATTCTTCTGCAATATAATATTAAACATGGATAAGCTAAAGGTGTATGAAAAAAATCAAGAAAAAGATACTGTGAAGTTGTTCATAATTGGAAAGATGAATAGATTGGGTTATTATAAGTCAGTCCAGGGTAGGTAAATTATCTTGACCACTGAGAGTGATGGAGAATCTGTTTATATGCATTTCCTTGGGGACAATTAATTAGCCAGCCAGCAGGCCTTCCTTCCTTCTTACCTCCCTTCTTACCTCCCTTCTTTCCTTCCTTTCTTTCTTTCCTCTTTCCTTTTTTCCTTCCTTCCTTCCTTCCTTCCTTCCTTCCTTCCTTCCTTCCTTCCTTCATGTTATTATTATTGCCCCTTTATTATTATGCCCCTTCCTTCTTTCACTTATTTATATTCCATGCCCCTTGTACCCATAGCACTGCAGAGGGAATAGAGAACAAGCCACTGGTTACTGATGATAGTCACCCATCCACAGTTTGACTTAGCTATTGGTGCAGGAAAATATCAAACCTCTTCATGTAATCATTTGATCATGTGAAATTTAAGAAGATGTCTTCATCTAGAGGCATATGACAGGACAGGAAGTGTCAGACAGTATATTTTTGTCTATTATGGGCGGTGTATTTTGAGAGGTGGGGCTATATATTAAGGCTGGCTAATATGACCTATTTGTCTGAGGGACCAGGCACTCCACGGTCTGTGCCTCCCCTCAGCTCCCAGCTGGCCAAGCCTTAGAGGGCTAGTTTCTACCCTCCTTTCCTTCCTTCCTTCCTTCCTTCCTTCCTTCCTTCCTTCCTTCCTTCTTTCCTTCCTTCCTTTCTTCCTTCCTTCCTTCCTTCCTTTTTTCCTGCTTTTTTGCTAGAATAAATTAAAACCATGATTACTGAATAGTCTTGGCTCTTGGGTTTAGGGCTTGGCTATTTAGTTGAGGGAAGGCTGTCCATTCCTCTTCATGTGTTAATCCATTTGGTCAGCAGATACTAAGGAGGACCATCTTATTACAGGGCACTGTGTTGAGACAGGGAGGTGTCAGGAACCATGTTTTTGTCAGCCAGAGCAGGGTGTGTTATAAAGGGAAGAGGTGGGGCTGAAGCTTCTGCAGGCAGCTGCGCTGTAACCTGTTGTCTAGAAGTTCCCAGGCAGCTCTGCCAGTCTTGCTCCTCAGCTCTGACTTCCAGCCCATTGCTTAGAGGGGCTAGTTCTCCCCTCCTTCCCTGCTTCCCTTTCCATTTATTTCAGTTTCGGCTTCCGTGCCAGTGAAGAGCCACTTCCTTTGACCATTCTCTGCTCTAGTAGGTTGTCTTCGCTCCCTAAGAACTTGGTCGGGACCATCTGCATCAGAATGATCTCGGGGCTTGTTAAAAATGCCAGTTGCCGGACCTCACCCAGACCAACTGAGTTGGAATACGAATCAGCATCTGTTGTGGGGTTGGAAGTTACATTTCTGATAAGAGGTGGTGGTGAGCCACCATAACTAAATTTTGAGATTCCCCTCTCTCAAACCATGTTACATTTGGCAACATGAAGATGGAGGGGGCTTCAAAGAGGCACAAAGCTCAGTGGTCCACAGCTCAGTTGGCTTTAGAGCTCAACTATTATGATTTCAAGCTCTGCCACTCACCAGCCTGAACTTGTTTCTGTACCTCTCTAAGCTATGGTTCCTTCTTACAAAACACAAATGGATAATGCCTGCATCCACTGGCAGGGAAACTATGTCTGGTGTGCAGTAGGTACTCAATAAATGTTAGCAAGTTGTGTTCTGGTCACTACAGGAAAAAGACATGAGTTTTAAAACTGTAATGATGGGAAGCCCACGCTCCAGAACCCTGGACTTGTCAGTCACATCTAATTTGCAGGAGCTGAAGGCTGCATATGTTCCTGCTGGGGGAAATGGAGCCTCAGCAGCCGGTCCAAAAAGGAGAGGGGCCTTTGAGCAGCAAGAGGAGGGAGGGCATCTGCATGGGCCACTGGAGGGGCACCTGGAAGAGGTCTAGGGAAAGCTTCCCCTCAGCTGAGGCTGGGGATCCAGTGGGATGAATCAGATTGGGGCACTTGCTCCCAGTCCACCACCTCCACCCTCTCAGAACCTCATCATGGGCTCAGCAATGCTTCCCTCTTCTGCTTTAGTAACAGAAAAAGAGCACTGGATTCGGAGTCAGAAAATGAAGGCAAATCCCTTAATCTGAGTCTCTGTTTTCTTAACTCATAAAATAGAGATAATAACGCCCTTCAGAATATATCTGTGAATATGGTAAATTTTAAATCCTTCTGTAAATATAAGGGATTATTATTTTTAATCCTTTCTTCTCCCATGGTTCTCTTTTTAGCCTTCTTATTAAAAAAGGAAAACCTAGGTTGGGCACGGTGGCTCAAGCTTGTAATCCCAGCACTTTGGGAGGCTGAGGCAGGTGGATCGTTTGAGGTCAGGAGTTTGAGACCAGCCTGGCCGATATGGTGAAAACCCGTCTCTACTAAAAATACAAAAATTAGCTGGGTGTGGTGGTGCATGCTTGTATCCTCAACTCCTGAGGCAGTAGAATTGCTTGAACCCTAGAGGCGGAGGTTGCAGTGAGCTGAGATCATGCCATTGCACTCCAGCCTGGGTGACAGAGCGAGACTTTTGTCTCAAAAACAAAACAAAACAAAACAAAACAAAACAACCTTTCACTTAAACTTGCTATCCCCTCAAGCCACCTATCATTTCTCCTTCTTTTTCCTTTTTAAAAAAATTAAAATACCAAAATTTCAAAACAAACACAGCTGAGCAAGGTTGAGGAGTGCAGGTATCACAGAGTCTGGGGCAGAGAATTGGTCTGTTTCATATTCATGTGAAACGAGGCAGCACAACTCCAAAGACAGGGGAAGAGAGCAGAGAGAACCTGGCTCCAGAGCAAGGCACTGCCATGCGAGTCAAGGGTCCTGAAGCCTCATCTGTAGAGTGAGATGAGCGGGATAATGATAGCTGCAGGACTACTGTGAGGACTGGACTATGTACAGCCTAGCACCGCAGAGAGCATACAGGTACTCAATAAATGCTAGTGTCTGTTCTTACTTATAAGTGGGAGCTGAGCGATGAGAACACATGGACACAAGGGGCAAAACAACACACACTGGGGCCTGTGGGGATGTGGCGGGAGGGCGAGCATCAGGGAGAACAGCTAGTGGATGCTGGGCTTAGTATCTAGGTGATGGGATGATCTGTGCAACAAACCACCATGGCACACGTTTACCCACATAACAGACCTGCACATCCTGCACATGTACCCCTGAACTTAAAATAAAAGTTTAGGGAAAAAAATTTGATAAATATTTGTTGAAAAAAAGAATAAATAGTTCAATAATTCTGTCACTATTATTATTATTTTTTTTTTTGAGACAGAGTCTCGCTCTGTCACCCAGGCTGGAGTTCAATGGTGTGATCTCAGCTCACTGCAACCTCCACCTTCCAGGTTCAAGCAGTTCTGCCTCAGCCTCCCGAGTAGCTGGGATTACAGGTGCCCCCCACTACACTTAGCTAATTTTTGTATGTTTAGTAGAGATGGGGTTTCACCATGTTGGCCAGGCTGGTCTTGAACTCCTGGCCTCAGGTGTTCTGCCCGCCTCAGCCTCCCAAAGTGTTGGGATTACAGGTGTGAGCCACCGCGCTGGCCAATTCTGTCATTCTTGAAGAAAGTAAATTTCTTTGTTGCACCCCCACCCCCTCCCAACCCCCAGCTTCATTTATAGAAATGATTGATCTCTCCCCTCCCGTTCCCATCCTGTTCACAGCAGCCTGGGAAGCAGTGCCCACCCCAATCCTCTTTGGACCAGAAGCTGAGCTACACTAGATGTGCTGGGGCTAGTGGATGAAAAAGGAACAGAGTGCTGTCCTTGCACTGCGGGAGTGTATGTGTGTGCGTGGGAGTAGGGGGTACCATATAAGTACATTAAACCAATTCCTTCAATCTAATGCAGAGTGTGCATGAAGGGGGTGAGCATAAGGGCTGTGGGAGCATCAGGGAGGCTCATGACATTCAGCCTAAGGGGTCAGTTGGGAGGAGACGCCCCTAGAGGTTTATGAAGCACATGGAGGGAGTGGAATGGGTTGAGAGAAGAGAGAATAGGAGAGAAGGATATCTGAGTGCTAAGCCAGCCAAGGCAGCTTGGGACCACAAGGTCCTCCTTTGAGGATCAGAATTCCCAGTTCCTGAAGCTCATGTGAGAGTTTCCTACCAGTCTTTTCCCCTGGTTATTTCTTGGTGTTGCTTTTCTATGACTGCTACAGATTACAGAAGGAGTAAATATGTCTTTTGAAAAATTTTCAGTCTTTTCCTGTGTTAGTTAAAATGACAGAGGAAAGAACTTCCTTCCTAAATAAGAGATGGGGAATAAAGTGGGGTGCAATCAGGGTGTCCACACTCAGGCCAAATTTCAGAATGCTTGGACCCAAGTCAGGGCTGGGGGGCAGGTAAGACAGGTAGACACTAGGGACCCAGAGGGGACCACAGAAGGCTGGAACCCTTCCTGGGCATTTCTCTTCCTTGCAGAAAGGTGATCCTTGACCAACTCACCACACCAATGGAGAAATAGTTGTTCATGATGCTGTATGGGACCTGGTCCCCGTTTTCCACTTCCTCTCTGGGGATGACTTCCAGATGCCAGCGGTCCAGCATCACCAAGGGGCTCTGCTCAATGTCCTTCAGGATTTTTGTCAAGCTGCCCCCTTCATAACCTGTGGAGGACAGCACTGCTTTTGGCACCACAGCAGAAAGGCAGTGTTCTTGCTAATGCACAGGTAGTTGTCAGGGGAGGTAAGCCCAGGGCATCTGTGACTAGGGGACTCCTCACTGTGTCTGTGGGCTGGAGACAGTAATGTTCCCTGAACCACAGATAAGGGGGGGACAATTGAAAATACCAAGATGCTGGGGGCAGGGCAGGGAGTGGGTGCTGGCTAAAGGTTGCAGGCTTGTGTAGCTGAAGCAAACCCTGGAGAAGCGGTGGGCTGGATGGCTGGGAGTCTCTGCATGGGAGAACAGCAGATGTCATGTAGGAGACTGTGTCATGTAGGAGATGGACAGTGTGGCAGGCAGAATTTTAAGATGGCCCCTAGGCCTGGGTCCTGCTTGCTCTGACACTGCCCACCAAGCATGGCCGATCATTGAACACTGACCGTTGCACTGCCTGGTCTTGACTCATTCTCTGAATTATCAGCCATCTGGAGTTCCCACCCTTTTCCTGGCTGGCAGCCTGATCTGTCTGCTCCATGTGTTGAGCTGAACTTCTCCACTTTCTGGCGCATGCCCAACTCCATGGGGGCTACTGCAGTTTGCAAAGTTCTCTGCCCCTTGCCTTATAAACTGGTCACCGCTCTGTGTTTCCTCTTAGGGAAATTTCAAAATGAAGACCCATGGCCATGGGGCTTAGGATAATCTGAATGCTTCTAGTGACACTAAGTAACTGGAGACGGAGCATTTTGGTCCTCAGTTTTAGTCCTTATTCAGAAGATCAGCCATTTGTGGGAGAGGGAATTTCACACAGAAAACATCTAAGTGAGCATTTTCTCAGATGGGACTCTGGGGATGGGACACATGAGACTTTGTCTTTACTCTGGAGTTGATTGCTTTCTACTGGGGAAAGCAGGCTCTAAGTTGATAGTTTCAGGATGACATTAAACATGGGGGTGAGGGAGCAAAAACTCCCAGAGCCCCGAAGAGGGGCTTTTCTTCTAGATTCAGCATGGGATGGAGGGCAGAGAAAGGGTCATGGGCTTGACATGACTACAGAGTTGAGTATTATGCTGCGGAATGTGATCCACAAAAGGGTAAGTTCAGCTTGTCTCTGTAGAGCATCTCTGTCAACAGGAACACCTGTTCCCAGGGTAGCACCACTAGCATGCAAACTCACCTCCTCCCCAGCGGAGACAGCGGGCAAGGTCATTTCCTGTTCCAAGAGGCAGGACAGCCACTGGTGGATGCTTTGCAAAGTTGGCCTTATCTGCAAGACACACAGAGGAACAGAGAACCATATGGGACCATAGAATGTTTAAGTTGTCTTTTTATCCCCAATCTGATGCTTGAACCCCTCCATAGCATTCTTTGTTTGAATACCACCCTGATGGGAAACACACTACTTCCTAAAGCCATCTATCCCATCTGCAGCATGTTAACCACCACTAATTGAGTTAAATCTGTCCATTTGTGTTTTATATTCAGCTAAATCTGTATCCCTGCAACTTGCACATGTTTATTCAAATTTCATCCTAAATCTGTCCTTTGGGGTGGCAGCATACACCCCAAAACATTAAGTTGCATGTTTTTAATCCTTAATGATAATCAGCACTTACTCCATTTATTCCTCAGCCTAACCTTGCAAGGTATTATCCTCCTTCAAGTAGCTGAAGAAACTGAGACTGAGAGAGGGAAAGTAGTCTCCAACCATTCTGCCCTGAACACGCTCAACCTCATCTGATTGCAGGAGCTAGGCCTGGCCAATACTTCAAGGGGAGAGAGGGAAAGTAGTTCCAGAGCCAGGATCCAAGCCCAGATCTCTATGGCTCTGAGTCCATTCCCCTCCTCTCTTCAGGGGCTAGGCAGGTACACAGATTAGTAAAACAGGTGGGGCTGGGACACTAGGGAATAGTGGGACATTGGACAAGCTGAAGATGCTCACCTTCGACTTGTCGCCATTCGAGTTTAAAAGTTGAAACTAACATTAGCTAAACAAACAAAACCTCCAGGTGTTATTTGGCCCCTACACCAGTTTCTCACTTCCACACCTCTCAGGATTGCAATGACACAGATTCCTAATCATTCCTCTTCTGATAGTTGTGAAGGACATCAGATAGAACCATCAGAGAAAGCATAACAGTACATGTTTTCATCTGGTCTCAGATCTACTGCGGCACATTGTCTAGGCTGGGAGAGCTCAAGGGGGCACAGGCGTCCATCAGTTTTGGGGTTGGGTGGGTATTTCCATGAGACCTCAGCACTCATGGTGCCCCTGGATGTGAGCAATGTGATTGTGGGGTTGGGAGAGATGCAGGAATCAGCAGAGGAGGCTCAAGCTAGGGCTGCCCTGGCAAACTGGAGCTCGTAGGTCCTCTAGGTTGTCTGACCTATGTCAGAAATGGCTGAGTACCGGCGAGACCCAGGACTGAGATGGCCACTGGAAGGCTTGAGATAGAGAGCAGAGCAATGCAATGGCCTCTCTCATTGTCCTCAGAACATGTGATTGGAGCACCACCTCCCTGCCTTTGCATAGCCTGCTCCCTTTGCCTAGAAGGCTCTTGTTTCCTGTGTCTGCCCCTTCTTCTGTGTCCCCACCTTGGCAGGTCAGCTGTCCTTATGGTGTTGAGGCTAGAAACCTGTATGCCACCCTGGGTTTTTCCTTTTCCCCCACACATCCATTCACATATCACATTCTATGTGCTGTCTCCTTAACGGATCTCCAAGAAATCTCTTCTTTCTATCCCCATGGTGATGCCTGAATGCAGGTATGATTCCTTCCCACTGGTATCGCTGCAACAGCCTCCTCTTGGCTCTCTCCACCTCCAGTTCCACCCTCCTAGTGTGTCGCCCATGCTTTCACCAAGAAGGGCAGTCCACGAACCACAGTCTCTTGAATTGGCTCACTGCCTTCACTTCCGGGATGGGGCTGTGTGGCTCCCCATGGCCCCATAGCCTGCCACAGTAGGCCCAGGAACCAGGCTCTGCCTTTCTCCCTAGCCTCACCCTTCTGCACATCCTGCCTCCCACACAACATGTCAACCATTCTCAAGTGTTTTCACTTCCTTAAAGCACAAAGCTCTCTGTGGCTCAGCTCAGAAGCTGCCTTTGGGAGGCCCTCCCTAGTTGCCCCAGCCTGGACCTGGTGCCTCGTCAGAATATTTCCTTAGCACCAGAAATGATCTCATTGTACTCTCTTGTAATTATCTCCTTGTTTGTTCCCTGAATGTATTGTAACCCCCCCGAGGGAGGCTGGGTCTTGTTCTCACAGCATCTTCACACATATCGACTGAAGTCTGCTATGTGCAGATACAGTGTTAGGTGCTTCAGCTCTGAGAGTGGGCAAAAAAGCCGTGGCTCAGGTTCTCATGGTGCTTATTTACTGTCCAGTGGGACAGACAGATATTAAAGAGGAATCCATGGAGACAATGCATCATTTCACATTCACATTGGAAAAGAGAGGAGCACTGTCCTATAAGAAGGTGGCTGAGGCTGGTGGGTATGTCAGGGGAGGCTCCCCTGAGGAAGCCACATGTCAGCTGAGATCTGAAGTGGAAGCTGACTGAGTGAAGGCTGGGGCAGCACTGCAAACAGGGTGGCCAACTTGTGCGAAGGCCCTGAGGTACAAGGGAGACTGGAAAGCCCAAGGGTCTGAGAGAGCAGCCGGGACCTGAGTCCAGATGGAGAGGGATGGAGGTAGAAATAAGGCTGGAAGGGTGTGCAGCAGCTGGGTCACCCAGGGCCCTGTAGATTACTTCAAGGGTTTTGTCTTTATTCTAAGAATAATGGAAGCCACTGGTGTGCTTTATGCACACCATGTACCCAGTGACATGCAGGAAAGATTGCTATGGGTGTAGAGAGAGAACAGATCAGAGAGGGGACCATGGAGGGGCACTGGAGAGCACTGAACAAGTGCTTAAATGAGAGTGAACGGATGAGTATCTTACACAGTTATCCCTTTTACTTCTGCTTTTTTTCTCTTTGGGTCACTAACCTGTGAAAAAAAACTAATGTTTCTTCCTCCTTCTGTGATCTTCTTTCTGTTTTGAGCAGCTTTTATCACCTGTGTCCTCTGCGGATGAATTGCATAAAGCTCTCTGCCAAAGCCTACTTTCTCCTTCATGGTGGGGAGGGAGCTGTGTGAGTAGTCCAGTACCGCAGCCATCCACCCTCTGTGGATCAGCTTTTCCTTCCTTGGCTCCCAGAGGACTCCTCCCTCCTCCCACAAACAGCTCCAGAGCCCAAGGTGACAGGAGAGCGTGGGTGGCTGCTTGGCAGGGCTGTGTCCATGGCAACCAAAGTGCCCGGGGGAGTGGCGGGTGGCAGGTGTACAGTCCTGCAGCCTTCTCACCCAGCTAGGTGGTCTACTTACAACCCCTGGAGGCGCAGCTTTCTCTGCCCTGGTCACGGTCTAGTCCTGGCTTATCCTTGACTCCCCTCTTCCTCTCATCTCCCATATCCAGTCTGTCAGCAAATCGTATTGCCTTTACCTTCTAAAGATATCCAGAAGCTGGCCCCTTCTCACCACCCCTCTGTTTCTACTGTGGTCCAAGCCCTGGACATCTCTCTCTTAGATTGCTGCAGTGGCCTACTAACCAATCTCCCCGCTTCTGCCCTCTTCTCTTAATCTGTCATGTTCTTGCTTTGCTAAAAACCATCCAATGTCATGGGACCCTCCCAGTATAAAAGCCATATTCCATAGAATGCCCTATATGTCCTAGTCACCTGGCCCCTCATCACCTCTGCTTCATCCTCTGTAGCTTTTCTTGAATCCACTCTGCTCTGGCCATGCTGACCTGCCTCCAGCAGCCAGGCCTGCTCCCACTGCAGGGCCTTCGTCTTTGCTGTTCCTTCTGCCTGGACTGCCCTTCCTCAGGTATCCATGTGGCTCACCCCTCCTCTAGATCTCCACATAAATGTTGTCTTCTCTGTGAGGTGTTAGATTGCCGCCTTGAGCTCCCTGTGCCTCTTCCCTGCTGTATTTTAAACACCTCCTGACATACTATGTCTCACTTATTTAGTTGTTCATTGCCTGTCTCTTTCCTCTACATGGTACGCTCCATGAAAGCAGAATTTTTGTCTCTTCATTCCCTGCTGTATCTCCAGTGCCTTGGGGAGAGCTTGAGCCATCGTGGGGCACAGGCGGCATTTGTGGAATAAAGAATGGAAAGCCCAGGGCTCATCGCTCAGGGCCCAGTCTCTGACTTTGATGACTGTCCTCCCCAGTGCTCCCCCCGGCCACTTTCTTGTACCTATATTACACTTTGCAGTGTTTGTCTGGGTTCTCTAGGGTTAGATCTTGACTCTGCTTCCATCCCAAAATTTCAGTCAGTTTCCATCACTTACTGGGGCTGATGTGCCCGAGGACCCACAGATCCAGGTAGAGCTGGGTAGAACTCAGGCTACCAGCCTTCCAGCCTGGGCCTTGTTATCTAGGTGTACTGTAGAGGACACAGCTCAGTGTGGTCCTTCTTTGCTTGCACTTGATCTGTACTTTGCAGATGCACTTTCTGGACTCAGGCTCCGGGTGTTCATCTCAAGGTGATTTGTCCCAGGCTATGATCTATGCTTAGTTCTCTTGCAGACCCCAAAGGATCTGCCCAGAATTCCACTCCTGTCCTCCCACCTCCCAAATCTGACCTGTCCTGCCACTGCCCAAACACCAGCCATGACAGATCTGCTTTACAGGGAAGGCCTGAAACTAAACTGTTACCTCTGTATCGGAGGGAATCTTTTCACTGTCTTATTTCTTTATTTTATTTTTTTCCACCCAAAGCAAATATTTAGTCAAGTCTTGGTCCAGGGGAAGATACAAGGATGAACAGACATGGCTCCATGTCCCTTTCTTTTTTATTGCCTTCTGCCGATTGTAAATATGCTTACTATAAATAAGCAGCAAAGGCCCTCTCAGCCCATGCTTACCAATGCAATCCAAAATCCAGCCAACTGTCCCATCTCCACCACAGGCCAAAACACGGAAGTCTGGAGTATCATGGAAAAAGTTCAACCTGGGAAGAAGAAAGGCCAAAATGGACTTGTTACTAGGTTGCGGTTGACATTGATACACGTTGAGTCAGAGTCTCCCCTGTTCCCCAGGAGTAGGTTAAGACCTCAGTTCCTTTTGCGGTCGAAAGGGTCACTCAATGTTCTGAGACCAGAAGTTACTATGCAGTGCCTTGAACATGGAGCCAAGGCCAAGGGGCCCATCCTTGTACAAGGAGAATCTGACTCAACATTCAACACAAATGGAAAATGGTTTTCTAGAAATTCTCTACTAGTTATGCCGAGGAGTCCAGAGTTTGTGCATTTTGGCATCAATACAAATAGCCCCCAGTGTTTTCACTCCTCTCGGGCTCTCCCCCCTACTCTGTCCTGATATCCGCCCTGGTAAGCGAGATGCATTGAATTTGCTGGATCTTCACTTCACTCTCCTGTGGGCCACAGTGAGTGGAGTGATGCCCTTCTCTTCTCAGGAGCCTTAACCCTGGAGAACAGGCTGCTCAACCTGGGGTCCATGAACCTCCAAGTGTTCTGTGGATTGGATTCAGAGGGCCATGAAATTGGAGGAGAAAATATTACATTCTTATTTTCCCTAAGCTCAAACTGAAATTAGTGGTATTTCCTCCAATTCAGCATGTAGGCAACAAACCACAGCGGTCTGAACGATAGCCATGACTTTGTCAACGGTCAAAATCACAGGCATGTTAGTGTTTCATCACGGTTGTGGCAGATGTCTCATAGCACCGTCATGCTCACCACTGCTCGGAATTTACGGTAGTTATTAGACCCGCGTCTGGGTCTTCCTATTTAATGTGTTGGTGAAGCTCCTATATTCTCATATCACTAATTTGTTTTACTGTTTTGATAACTATTTTTTGATACGGTTTCCTTGGTTACCTTTTATTATTTCATTTTATGCATTAAGAAATATTCTAAGAGGGTATCTGTATGCTTCACCAGACTGCCAAAGGGGTTCCTGGCACAAAAAAGTTAAGAACCTCTGCTTTGGAACGAATGTGACCTGCGGACACCTTGGGGGTGGGACTTGGGAAGCCAAAGGTCAGTATTTCCAATCTGCCCAGCCTGGTGGTTTGAGAAGAGCCCCGGAGCTTTCAGAGTCACTGATGCATGTGTAGGCAAATTAACATTCCTTCTCTTCCACTTCTCTTGCAGAACTCTGCTCTCCAACAGGAAGTGAATTCTGAACAGAGGCTCCCTCCAGCTAGGCAACCTGTCTGATTACAGAGTGACAGGCGCATGAGAGACCCTCAGGGCGCATCAGCCCTGGAAGTAGCCAGTTGGCTCAACATCTCAGATGAAAACAATTTAGAATACAGGAGGTTAAGCTGGAGGACGGTCTGCAAGTTTTGGCAGTGGGCTGGTAAAGGTGTCTGTGGGGGGCTGCTCCGTCACAAGGCTGTGCTGTTCAGCAGTAATGGCAATCATGGTGACTGTGAGGGCAACTGCAGTGGTATACAGAGGTGGGCTCTGTCCTGAAATTAGTTTTACAGGCAAATCATGGCAGAAGTACTGAATCTGTACTTACGTTTTCTTTCTCTTTTTAACTGGGCCTTGTACTACCGCTGCCACAAATAATAGCTTTGGTGTCAGTCGACCAAAAACAGGGTCAAATTCTCTTTTCAGAGTCCTTAGTCCAACCTCTCTGAGGGGTCTTGCTGAACCCGGAATAGAAATCCCCATTGGAGGTTGGGCAAAGTGGCTGTGTGCTGGGCAAGCCCAGCCCAGAGTATGCAGACAGCCCCGGGTCCGGGGCCAGCCAGCAGAGGGCTCTCGAGCACTGGCCCAGACTGGGAGGAAGCCCAGGCTTTCCCTGCCTTCTAGCCCAGGTGCTGGAGGGGCCGCATCACAGGAACCTGCAGCTCACCATTAGCCACGGACACAGGGACCACGCCTCCCACAGGGCCTCTTTTCAACCCCATGCTAACAAGCAGAGAATAACCAATGAGTAAGTGGCAGGAGGAGCAAAACAACTTCAAAATCGAATGATTTAGAAAACAAAAGTGATTCCATTGAACAAGTAATTGTCTTGATCCTAAAATGCCCCCACAGTGGAACACCAAGGCAGAACTCTGAGTCACTGTCTAGAATTCCAAACTGCTGACTGACAATGATAACAAAACTTTCTCTTCTCTGATGATTCAGTATGAAGACACCAGCTAACAGAGCCTTGCAAATAAGTTAAAATAATTTACCAGCCTGTTCCTCCTGTCAATCAAATGAATGGTGTGTGTGGTTATCCCCTCTTATAAAATCAATAACTTTTTCTAGGACAAGCTACAGGAGGCCACTTCTCAAACAGAGTTAGCCTTCCTGGGCATCCCGAATATCTCCAGGAGTCAGAGTAGGACGTGAGAAAAAGCAGAGACAGGGAGTAAAATGGCAGGAAGGGACAAGTTGAGAGATGAAAGATAAAAAAGGTGACAAAAGAGGCATCTTCATTGGAGATTAAAAGGGAGGGGGAGAAATAAGAGGTAAAGATTGTGATCTCCATACCCTGGAGTAGGCCCCCCATTGTCCAGGTTGAAAACTTGTTTGGGGTTGAGCAGATAGTGGAATTTCCGAAGAATTCTATGGAAAAAAAAAGAAAAAGAGGGAGAGAGAGAGACAGAGAAGGAATATGTCATCGTGAGAAGTCACATTAGGGCAAACACCTCTGGAGCCCACTGGTGGCAGGGATGAGGGTTCATCCTCATCCCTGGAGGGGAAGGCACTGCCTGCTGACCCTGGAGTCCAGACTCCATCTGGCATCCCCGTATTATCAGCCCTGGTTCAAGGCTGCACTACCAACTTAGCTCCTAAGCCCAGAAGCATCACTCCTTACAAAGAGAACAGGGCAGAGAAACCCAGAGAACAGAACTTTCATTCTAAAGCTTTATCCTCCACAGAGACCTTTCCCCAAATGTTCTGTATGGTCTAGGCAGTGTGATTCTTCCCTCTGCAGACTATACAGAAGCATCACAGGACCCCCCTCCTCCCCAGGGAGAGGCCCCCTGCAGTCCTGGGATCAGGAGGAAATGCAGGGGGCGGCTGAGAGGCCCTGACTGCACCCAGACCTGCTTTCCTGGTTCCAGCTTGGAGTCAGGTCAGTTCAGGAGGGGTGTTCTGCCCCTTGGATGGGGGTGGGGGTCCTCATAGTTCTTGCTTTAACTCTACTAATTATTATTTTTTAACCTGGATTCCAGATCACGGTGCCCTCTGTTAATGATCCTGGAATTGGGAGACAGAGCTGCTTTAACCATTCTCTCTGTCCTCCTGTGCTGTTTAGCAATTTCTAGCCACCACTGAACTGGGCATTTTAGCAAACTGATGAGGTGGATGCCCTGGCTTCTCATGGGTGGTGGTAGCACAGGAGGCCCTAATCAATGGGACCCCCATCATCTCTTAAATCAAGAGATCTGAGAGGCTAGAAAGGCACAGGCATCTCAGAGTGTGGTCTAACCCTGGTGGTCTTAATAATGGCTTACGTGGCAGGCTGTGGGCTAATCGCTGTGCCTATTCTCACCTGTGAGAGGAGGAATGATGATTATCTCCATTTTACAGAGGGAGAAACCGAGGCCTGGCGACTTTAAGTCACTTGGGCCAGGTCATAAAGTGGCAGGTGGCAGTGTTGGGATTTGAGTCTGCTTGTCTCCACAGCCTGCTGTGTTACTGCCAAGGGGAGGAAGGGCCTGAGTCGTGTTGCCCTAGTTGCTCCACTTTGAAACAGAAGAGAACGTACCTTTCTCCTTGTCTCCCTCCACTCTTGGGGTTCACCAAGACCAGCAGGGGGTGGGTACCCGGGGTGGGGATGATCTTATACTTGAAAGGTAAAAGAAAAAGAAATTAGCTCTGCTTCATCCAATAGGGGGGTGAAATGAGAGTTGAAGCCAAGACAGCTTCGGAGAGGCAGATGAGAAGCAGGCGGGCAGGCGGTCAGGTGTTTGTCCACTGGCTGAATTTTCTGAGGCACTAAGTAGCTAAGTGTCTCCAGTTTGAACGGTCTTTGAGCAGTGTTAACGGAAATGAGGGTTTGAGGTCGGGATCAGTGATGGGACAATGGTGCTGTAGCTTCAAATCATTCAACAGTGATGTGGTCTTGTACCTACAGCACAAGAGTAAATTTTGTGGGGGACACAGCTGAATATGATCTTAGAAAGCACAGCTGTCTGATCGTACACGTAAGCGAAATAGCACTCATGGAGTGAGCCACCGCTTCCACCCTGGCGCCTTCCAAATGCTGATTTCTGGCCCCAGTTTCCTCCTGAACCCTGGTCCCACATTTCTCACTGGCCAGTGGGTACTGTCGACTGGACGTCTCACCATCAGTACAAGCTCAACGTGCCTCATACATGACACGTCTTCTCTCCCTGTGGAACTCGGTCTTTCTCCTGGTTCCCTGTTTCTGTTATTCATTCATCCCTCCAAGGAAGGTGTTGTCCTGTCAAATCTTTCCCAGAAATGTCCCTTTACCTCTGGCTGCCACAGCCCCATGCTGCTTTGTGCCTTTCCCACCCTAGGTAAGTTGTGCATGCCATTCCCACACAGTTCCTTCCCAGGACACCAGGCCAGCCATGCCACTCTTGCTCAAAAACTTGTAATGACATCTCATTATTAAAGGAGGATTTGGATTTTGTGGATAAGATGTAAATCTCCTAACCTGGCGTTAAAGGCCTTTTCAATCTAGCCCTATTCTACTGCTATCTCCTAGTTCCTGCTAACCCTCAGCTGCAGGTGCAGCCAAGACCTGCTCTTGCTCCTCTAGTAAGTCTAGAGTATGTCTTGCATATTCCCACCCATGGGTCTGCTCATGCTTGTTTCTTCTCCCATTCCATGACCTGAAATGCCTACTTCCTTGTTTGCAAACTCTTAAAAAAAAAAAAAAAACTTCTGGCTGAGCATGACCACTCATGCCTATAATCCCAGCACTTTGGGAGGCCGAGGCGGGCGGATCACAAGGTCAGGAATTTGAGACTAGCCTGGCCAACATGATGAAACCCCATATCTACTAAAAATACAAAAATTAGCCGGGCATGGTGGCATGTGCCTGTAATCCCAGCTACTCGGGAGGCTGAGGCAGGAGAATCACTTGAACTTGGGAGGTGGAGGTTGCAGTGAGCCGAGATCTCGCCACTGCGCTCCAGCCTGAGCGATAGAGCAAGACTCTGTCTTGGAAAAGAAAACGAAAAGAAAAGAAAAGAAAAGAAAAGAAAAGAAAAGAAAAGAAAAGAAGACAAGACAAGACAAGACTACCACCACCACCAACAAAAACCTTCTTATCCTCAGGGCTCAATTCAAGAGACATCTCCTATATGAAGTTTCCCTTGATCATTGCAACTAAAATGATTGCACTTAAAACATGTACTATTGACCGGGCACGGTGACTCACACCTGTAATCCTAGCACTTTGGGAGGCCAAGGCAGGCAGATCACCTGAGGCCAGGAGTTCGAGACCAGCCTGGCCGACATGGTGAAACCCCATCTCTACTAAAAATACAAAAATTAGTCGGGTATAGTGGCGTATGCCTGTAATCCCAGCTACTCGGGAGGCTGAGGCAGGAGAATCGCTTGAACCCGGGAGGCAAAGGTTGCAGTGAGCCGAGATCACACCATTGCACTCCAGCCTGGGAGACAAGAGCAAAACCCCATCTCAAAAAACAAACAAGCAAGCAAGCAAACAAACAAACTATGTACTATCTTCTGGAGTTTCTTTTGTTGTTCATTTGTATTTTTTTTAACTTTCTTAGATAAATGACTCAAAACATCAACTGGATTTAAAATGCATTGGGAGCAGAGTGGGGTGTGTGTAACCCTATTACCAAGGACCGTATAGCACCAGACAGAAGAGTGCGTACTCAGCAAATACTTGTGGGTTCAGTGGAAGGATACGCCAATGTGGTTGTGCAGCTCTGCTCCATATTCAATATCTAATGCCTGCTTTTCCGGATCTCAAGCTAAAAGTCCAGCAAACACAGTGCCATGTTGTTTGAAAAGGATAGTAGCATTCACCATGATCTAAAAAATTGGTCTCACCTGCCCAGGGTGACTATGTGATGCCCAGAAGCATCTTGGAGGCTAAGGAATAATCCCTCACCTCTGGAGATGACATTCAACGTATTTAACAGCTAACCCTACAGCATGGACTCTGTTCTATCATAACAGATGCAGCACATCCTGCCGGCTCCCTGCCCTAAACAACTGGCATACACATATCGGGTGTGGATGTGTGTGTGCCTGTGTCTGTTTCCCACCTTTCTGCCCTTCTAGGTTTCTAGAGCTTTCTCACATATTAAGATTCTTCCCTCATTCTGCCTTATGTTTCACTTTTCTTTTTTTTTCTTTTGAGGCAGAATCTCCCTCTGTTGCCCAGGCTGGAGTGAAGTGGCACAATCTTGGCTCACTGCAAGCTCCACCTCCAAGGTTCAAGCGATTCTCCTGCCTCAGCCTCGAGAGTAGCTGGGATTACAGGCGCCTCCCACCACGCCCAGCTAGTTTTTGTTTTTTTAGTAGAGACGGGGTTTCATCATGTTGGCCAGGCTGGTCTCGAACTTCTGACCTTAGGCAATTTGCACACCTCAGCATCCCAAAGTGCTGGGATGACAGGCATGAGCCACTGTGCCTGGCCTGTTTTACTTTTCACAACACGTGAATCTGTATGTTCTCATTTAATCTTACAGCACCTCTGGGAGGTGGGCGGGGCAGGGATTACTGTGTCCCCTTTGAGCGGAGGAAACTTAAGGCTCAGAGGCAGAGCAGGAGGCCCCGGTTTTCTATTTCCTTTTCTAGTACTCTTTGTTCCTCACCAGACTGCCTTCCCTGCATTCCTTGGAACTCTGTGGAAGGCACAAAAAATGTTCACTGGTGAACCTAAGTGAAAAAATGAGTTCTTAAGTATATGTTTAAGGATTAAGAAGAACTTTTAGATCTGGTTAGCTTCATTTTGGCAGATCATGTTCTGGAGACAGCTTGGCAATCCTGGAAAACCCATTGTCTATTTTTAGGCCACATCTTTGTTATTATTTAGGACATCTGCATATTAAAGTTTTATGTAACTTGTTCCTAAAATAGTAATAAAGCCCAGTAAGACCAGCAATGGGATCAGCCAACCTTGCCTCTCACCACTTGCTGACAGTGTGGCTGTCAAAGGTAACTCCAGAGGCCAGAAAAAAATGCCCTCCTGGGTGGTATAACTGGTCAGACGAGAAGGCAAATGATGAAATGCTTTTCTATAGCACCTGAACCCCATCCTGCCCGCCACAACCCTGGAACAACTTAGAAAGTGCAATCAGATTTAGAGCTCATGAGGTACCTGCATGACAAGTTCACCCTTGGCGGATACGCAGGCATCAGACTTCCCACCTGGCCTGTCCTGTGAGAAGAAAGGAAAGACAAGCATCTTTTGGAGAAAGAAGACTAATACAAAGAGAGAGAGATTAGATGAAAAACAAATGGCTGATATGAAGAGATCAGAAAGCTAGTGTAGTATGGAGACAAGTTTTTCAACATAGGGCTTCTGACCTAAATAAAGAAATGTACCCCTATGACTTTTTCTAGGATTCTCCAAGCCTCCAGTGATGACATCACTGGCTGACTTTACCTTTGAGGCAAGGGACATAATGGGGAGCACTGAAATTGGCAGAATCCCACTTAGTTGATTTAGAACCTTGAGCTCTGAGAAGCAAATTCTTAGACTTGGCCTTGCTTTCCTTCTTTCCTTCTTTCCTTCCTCCCTTCCTTCCTCCTTTCCTTCCTTCCTCCCTCCCTCCCTCCCTCTCTCTCTCTTTCTTTCCTTCTTTCTTTCTTGACAGAGTCTCACTGTGTCACCAGGCTGGAGTGCAGTGATGTGACCTTGGTTCACTGCAAGCTCTGCCTCCTGGGTTCAAGTGATTCTCCTGCCTCAGCCTCCTGAGTACCTGGGACTACAGGCGCGCGCCACCACGTTCAGCTAATTTTCTTGTATTTTTAGTAGAGACGGGGTTTCACCATGTTGGCCAGGATGGTCTCGATCTCTTGACCTCGTGATCTGCCCCCTCGGCCTCCCAAAGTGCTGGGATTACAGGTGTGAGTCACTGCGCCGGGCCATAGGCTTGGCTTTTGTGCTGAGCACTATCTAATGATATGATGTTGTCATTTTTTTTGGTTTTGTTTATCTTGTTTATTTTTCTAATGTTTATTTTATTAAGATTTTCTCACATATAGTAAAATGCTCAAATCTAAATTGTACGACTTGATGAATTTTGTATACGGGGATGGCCTTGTAACTACTACCTCTTCAAGCATAACCCTGTTGTGACTCCTGATACCATATGGGTTTTGCCTGGCTTTTGAATTTAATATAATGGATTCATAGAGCATATCTTTTTCTGAGTCTAGCTTCTTTGGTTCAGCATTATATTCTTGAGATTCTCCATGTTTTTACTCTATGCATAGTTTGTTCTTTCCCATTGCAATGTAGTTTCCCATTCTATGAATGCCAGATGCCGATATGCCTCAATTTATTCATCTATTCTCCTGTTAATGGTCATTTACTTGTTTCCAGTTTTTAACTGTCATGAATAAAGTTGCTATGAGCATTCTTGTGCATGTCTTTTGATGGAATAAATGCTTGGGTTTTCCAGGTAGATGCGCTGGAGGAGAATTGTTGAGTTATGAAGTTTGGTTATTTCCAATACAGTAAATATTGCTAAATGATTTTCCAACATGTTGGTATTTTTCAGGGTTTTTTATTTTTATTTTTGAGACAGAGTCTCACCCTGTCACCCAGGCTGGAGTGCAGTGGTGTGATCTCGGCTCACTGCAACCTCTACCTCCTGGGATCAAGCGAGTCTCCTGCCTCAGCCACCCCAGTAGCTGGGATTTAAGGTGCTCACCACCACGCCTGGCTAATTTTTGTATTTTTAGTAGAGATGGTGTTTCACTCTGTTGGCCAGGCTGGTCTTGAACTCCTGACCTCAGGTGATCCGCCTGCCTCAGCCTCCCAAAGTGCTGGGATTACAGGCATGAGCCACTATGGTTGGCCTTTTTCTCAGGTTTTTAATGAGGAAGAAGTAGCTTGTCAAGTTCAGAGTGAGATGTGAGGAATGAGTGGGACTTGCAACATTTTTAAGATGGGAAGATGCCATGGTTAAGTGTTGGTGTTTGTTGAAAGAGGAGTCTTCAACACAGGTGACAAAGTGTCAGGTGGGGGTAAAGGAGCTTAATTTTGCTGCTTTCATTTCCAAATTGGCTGAGACACCCAAGTGGAAACTCAGGAGGTAGAGGGAGATAGGGTTTGGATGTGGCACGGAGATTGGCAGAGATGAGGCAGGTTGGGAGCCTGGCCATGCATAGGTGGTGTGTGCTGTGCTCTGCCTGCAAGAGGCTTAGAACAAATGTGCTTTCCTTGACGGGTCATTTCAGGGCATTCAGGATGGCCAGCAATTGGAAACAGTTTGGTCAGAGAAGTTTTCTCTCAAAATCTGATCAGTGCGGCGCTGACCTCTTTCAAGCACATGCTGAAAGCACAAACCCCACAGAGAGGAGCAGAAAAGATTAACGACTAGGCACTAGCTAAAAACCCAGGTAATAAAATAATCTGCACAACAAACTCCCGTGACACGTGTTTGCCTGTGTAACAAACCATCCCATGTACCCTCTAACCTAAAATAATAGTTAAAAAAAGAAAGAAAAGAAAACACAAACCCAAAGAGTTGTCAGGGAAGCCCTGGGAGGGATGTGAATGTCTGAAAGCTCCTGCATCTGAAACCAGAACCCAGAGAAGCGAGAGCCCTCGCCAGGGCAGGAGCACTCACCCGGGTGATGGGGCATATGGAGGTGGGCAGCAAGATGTGGTCTCTGAGTTCCCCACCGTCACACAACGTTGCTAATTCACATTTGCGGTGAAACTGCGGGGAGAAATGAAAAAAATGAAAAAGAGAGTGAGCGAAAGTGAGCAAAGAAACATCAAACATGAAGGTAAAGAGGTTTTGGGGAGAGGCGAGCTGTCTAGTGCTCCCCCAAATCCTGATGCACTGCTGACTTGGACAGTATTGCCGTGTGTGTGTGTGTGCGTGTGTGTGTGTGTGGTTAAGAGTGCCAAGTCAGCTGTGGGCAGAACAAGGAGGCCAAGAGCTGCTCATGGCTACTGAAGCAACAGGGTCATGAGCCGGCCTGTGACCCTTCAGTGTGGCACCCCGTGTTGATTCCAGAGCCCCCTTGGATATGTGCTCTCCAGGTCCCGAGACTCTGGGAGGAGGGAGATCTTGATGAAAGAACTCATGGATGGCTGAGAGTAAACCTTGTGATTCAACCTTTGTATTTTGAGAGTTCTGCAGTCTGGTTTTGAGAAATCTACATTTTGAGGGTGATACCTGGGAAGAAGGACAAGAGCTGGCACTGAGTTTTGTCAGGCAGGTCGGCCAGCTCAGTGGCTGCCAGTGGCACTCTGGGTGTCCAGTGGGGCTGTGGACACAGCATGTGGGGTGGCTGGTGGCAGCAGGACCAAACCTTTGGCCCTGGCAGTGGGGCTGCCCTGAGGAATGCGCCTTCAGGGCAGGCACCCCCTCCTATGATGTTCCTGTTGTCCAATTTTTCTCCCACTCTGTCAGTGTCCCCGGCCCCAGGTGACACCCAGGTGAAAGAAGTTCATAGTCGGGCCTGCTGATCCCAGCTGCCGGGCCACAGAGACAGTGGACTGGCCAGCTTCTTCTTCAGCAGTCCTCACTCCCCTGGTTCGGGGGTGCCTTCTCTCTGGGCAGCTTGGTAATTCACTGGAGCATCGTTAGGCTGAGGGCATTGCATAGGGGCTGTGGGGCTCCCTCGCTCCCCTGGCTCTGCTCATGCCCTCTGGCCAGATGTTCACTGCTCCTGGGCCGCAGTTGGGCAAAAAAAACATTGAAAAGAAGCAGGGCCGCCCTGGGCACCAACCCACCGTCATCCGGCACCACACGCAGTGCCGCGCGGTGACCCTCTGGTAGCACTTGGTACTTTTGTGGCACCGGTCACACTTGACGGAGGAGTTCCCTTCCACCCATGCGTGCTGCATCACCTGCGGAAGGGAAGCGAAGGATGCCAGGGAAAACGGCAGAACCATGCCCCCCGGGGCCTTGGGCTGGAGGAGAAGGATCTGGGAGGGGATGCCGAGAACCAGAGGGACTGTTTCCTATGTAGAGGATGCTTATTGGAGGTTGGATTGCTTTGCCTAATGGCACGATGTGGTTCCTCCCTGCCTAACTGACATTATGCGAATCGAAGTAGATTAAAAACCCGCTTTGCCACATTTTGAACAGCTCAATCGCCCGGGCAGGCAGGCCTCTGAGCAGCATCTTGTCTGGCAGTCCATCTGTTTGTCTTGCAGAACTCCTTGCAGTGATGTGTTTGTACGCGCCCTCGTGCTTGTGGAAGGCAGCGTGGTGCAGAGGAACTCTGGAGGGGTTGGGTGGGCCACAGACAAATCCGGCTGGAGTCTCTTTGAAGTGGTGGCCTTTGGCCAGTTCTTAGACCTCTCTGAGTGTCAGGTCCCTGACCTGTAGAAATTGGTATAAGAAGCCCCACTTCCGGGGTTACTGGGGCAATGCAATGAGATAGCACGTTTGGAAGGGCCTCCCTGGGACAGTGCTGGCCCTTTGGGGATACCCACAACTGGGTAACGCCCTTCTCCTTCCTCAGCCTTAGCTGCTCATTAGAACCACCTGGGGGAGCTTTTAGAAGTCCTAATGCCCAGCGGACACTCCAGAGCAAATAAATTAGAGTCTTTGAGGGTGGGGCACATGATTAATATGTTTTAATGCACTCTGGGTGATTATAATGTGAAATTGAGACTGAAAAGCACTCTAGAAGGAAATCAGAGAAAAGTCAAAAGAAATTAGTGCGGGTCCATTGGTGCTTTTCACACCTGTTTCCTGGAGAGCTGGTTGTATCTGCTCCATGACCAGGAAATACCACGAGGGCAGGCTAGGCATTTGGAAACAGGTGGGAATGGTGGGGATGTTTTTGTATGTGTGTGTCAGTGCAGCTAAAGCAACAGCAGCTGGCTAGTAGCCCCACTATCTGGGAGGCTGAGGAATTCTCATCAAAATTCTCCCTTGAAAATTTTCACCATGATACCACAAATAACAGAAGGAAGTAGACACGGACTCTAGGAGAAGGTGGGGGACATACCCTGAAGCGGCTAACTACAAGCGCAGAATTAAAAACCCACGAAATATTCGTGTAATTCTGTCCAGGTTTGTATTAAATAAGAATAAATGTGATTTTTTGAGACAGTCTCACTCTGTTGCCCAGGCTGGAGTGCAGTAGCATGATCACAACTCACTGCAGCCTCCACCTTCCAGGTTCAAGCGATCCTCCCAGCCCAGCCTCCCGAGTAGCTGGGACTACAGGCACATGCCACCACACCAGGCTAATTTTTGTATTTTCTTTTTGTAAAGACAGGATCTCACCATGTTGCCCTGGCTGGTCTCAAACTCCTGGGCTCAAGCTATTGGCCCTCCTCAGCCTCCCAAAGTTCTGGGATTACAGGTGTGAGTGACTGCACTTGGTCCAAGAATAAATGTTTTAAATTACTTAGCAATTAAGTTGCTTAAGGCCTCCCCTAAGGATGTTTTTGGTAAAATTATTGCTCCAGAAAATGTGTCGGTTTGGTTGGTAGCTTATCACTTTGTGCCTTGCACTTCCGAGGGTGTAAATAACTCGGTTTGCTAATTAATCTGTCATCTACATGGCCACATTGAATTTGCTCTGAGATTATTCTTTCCATTTTGCAGAGGAAAAAAATGAAGTTTCAGAGAGGTGAACTGACTGGCCCTAAGTTCCAAGGCTGGTGAATGGCCAAGTAGAGTTTCCTAGCCAGGTCTTCTGATCCCAAGTCCAGAACCATTCCTCCAACACCACGTTGCCTTCCCCATTCTCTTTGGAATCGAGGAGATGGTGAAAGACTGGGGCGCTCCTGCAGGCTGAGAAGGTTGTGAGTGTGCCCTGCCAGCCCCTCATCGGCCTCACTCTGTTCTCTGTGTGACAAGTGGCCAGAGTGCAGGCTTAGGGCCTGCATCCAGCAGGTACACCATGTGTCCCGGTGAATGGCATGGACATGGAGCAGGGTGTGCATGGGGTGGTGCAGACGGCGTGGATGAGACCATGCAGTGTCCATGGGGCATGCACACAAATCCTAGGAGGCACCTTTCTCTCCCAGGAGTCCTTCTGCAGGAGGGCTGGGTACCACTCTCACTGCTAACCATCTCCTGACTCACACTCCTCCATGTAATCTTCCCTTTGCAGGAAGGCAAAGTGCCCTTTCCCTGCTAATTTTAAGGTAAGTTTATTTCCAGAGTTGGAGAATGGCATCACCCAATGGCCAAAGGGTTAGAAACCTGGGAGCCATTCCCTACCTCTTCCCCTGTCTCATCCTCTGCATCCCCATCACCATGTCCTGGTCATGGTGGTGGTACTTCCAAATTACCTCTCAAACTCTCCCTTCATTTTCTCTTCTTTAGCCAGCGTGACAGTCAAAATACCCAATAACCGGCATTGCAAGGGGGACCCTCAGCACAGGACCATCCTACAGCAGTGAGTGTGGATCCCACCACAGTCGGGCCCTCAGCGCAGTACTGCCTTTTGCCTCAAGTATTGGAAGAGTCTCCCTCCCCTGATTTCTCTCCCACATCACACTCAGAGCTATTAACCTAATTCACAAACTCAATCACATCTTCTTGTGCTTGAAGCTCTTCAGTAGCCCCCGGCTGCACAGAAAACGCCTTTCTCACTCAGCTGGCCTCACAAGACCTGCTTCAGGCCAGATCTCACCACTTTCTGAGTGCATCTCCTGCCACTTTCCTTTAAGCATCCTCCACCCCGGCTACGCCAAACTAAGCATGGATCCCGGAATAAGCCACGTCTCATGCCTTTACACACGAGGCTTCCTCTGCCTGGAGAGTCTGGTCCTTCTCGATGTCTCATGAAGTCCTCCCAATTTGTGTTCAAGACACAACTGCAATGCCAGCTCCTTTGTGCAACTTGCCCCGTGCTTGCACTGTACCTCCCACACAGCTGTGTTATTGTAGCACACATCTCACTACTCTGTTCTTTGTGTATATGCCTGTCTCTCCTCCTAGACAGCACAGTTCTTGAGCAGGCTGGGGAGCATCTCTTACAACCCGTGTACCCCCTAGCATGGAGCCTGGCACACAGCAGGCACCAGGAAGGTGCTGGATGGATTGATGAATGAACGAGATGGTTTACAGGTGGTCCTCAAGGCAGAGAAGGGACTGGAGGAAGCTCCCAGCAAGCCCTCCTGCCCAGGAATCCATGTTGGTGGACATGTTTCCTGGATGAGGCATGCAGTAGAACAAGGCAGTAGATATCACCAACCTCGCCGCTCCTTTTGGCTTTTGAGTACGTTTTGACACAACCAGGAATGTTTTTGGACACACAGCGTTCGTGGACAGTGTATTTACAGTCTGAAAAGAAAAAAAAATCAAGGCAGGTGCTTGTGAATGGCCACGTAGAAGAGGCCCAGCTGCCCTCCCACCCTAGCTAAGGCCTGTACCTCCCTCTGGGTGGTTGGTGAGGGGCAGAGGACACAGGGGGCTGGGCTTTTCTAATGGAAATTCAAAATAGTCTGCAATCATTCTTGGAGGAGAGAGTCCCTGCTTATCCGCTGCGGCAGCACCTCCACCTGCCTCACTCCCTCTGTAGGCAGTGAACGCTGCAGGAACACATCCCCGGAAAGGCGCTTTTTGCTGAAGGGGAGTGTGCAGCATCGTTCTCCTGGCTATTCCAGTGCCACTGTATTGCATGCCCAGGACATTGGAGAGTGGATAGAAAGGTCAGGCCTTTTTTTTTCTTTTTGAGACAGAGTTTCATTCTTGTTGCCTAAGCTGGAGTGCAATGGCGTGATCTTGGCTCACTGCAACCTCCGCCTCCAGGGTTCAAGCGATTCTCCTGCCTCAGCCTCCCGAGTAGCTGGGATTATAAGCATTATGGGCATGTGCCACCATGCCCAGCTAATTTTTTGTATTTTTAGTAGAAGCAGGGTTTCACCACGTTAGCCAGGTTGGTCTCAAACTCTTGACCTCAGGTGATCCGCCCGCCTCAGCCTCCCAAAGTACTGGCGTGAGCCACCGGGCCTGGCCAAGGCCAGGGCTTTTTAAGGCTAGGCAGACGCCTGTAACAATCCACATGACCTTGGGTAAATTGTTTTACCTCTCTGAAGTTCAGGGTTTTCTGTAAAAAGGGAAGAAAACGGCCTCTTTCTCTTTGCAGGGATGTTGCAGTAGTACATGAGACAGTTTGTGTAAAGCATCATGTATCTGGGGCAGAGTAGCTACTCCATATATTATTGCTGTTGTTTTTACTACCATTATGTGAACAGCAGAGGCCTATGGGCCTAGAACTTAATGGGAATGAGATCTATCTATAAAATGTGAGTGAGAACTGGGTTTGAACTGGCACTGGGGAGACTGGTGCAGCCCCCCCCCCTTTTTTTGAGATGGGATCTCACCCTGTCACCAGGCTGGAGTGCAGTGGCACGATCTTGGCTCACTGCAACCTCCAACTCCCTGGTTCAAGTGATTTTCCTGCCTCAGCCTCCTGAGTAGCTGGGATTACAGGCACATACCACCATGCCCGGCTGATTTTTGTATTTTTTGTAGGGACGGGGTTTCACTATGTTGGCCAGGATGATCTTGATCTCCTGACCTCGTGATCCGCCTGCCTCGGCCTCCCAAAGTGCTGGGATGACAGGCATGAATCACCATGCCAGGCCTGGTGGGCCCCTTCTTCAGCCCGTTGATGCTTGGTCTTTGTGGACAGTGGGTCCAGCTCTGCCAAGGCAACTTTTGTGGCTGAGGTCACTTGCTGCCTCATTCACATGCGCGTGTTGGATGAAGCACTTCGACCTGGATCAGCCAAGGGGCCTCCCTGCAGCAGCAGCTCCCCGGTCTCTGGTGGGTTCAGGCTGAGTGTCACTGTCCACATCATGGGGTGGGTGGCAGGGCTCTGCACCCACATACTCCGGTGCCTGCCATGCCTTCTTGCTGCAGCCCCTCTGCCTTCTCCTCCTGCTCCCTGTGACCCCTTCTTTCCTACTCCTTATCACTCTTTTCTCCATCCCTTTCTCCTGTCCGCCTTCCTAGTCTTCCTCTCTGCTTTTTCCTCTACCACTTGTAGTTTTTCCCACCTTTCCACTCTGACTTTACTAAAGGAATTAAAAAGTGAAACAACTGTAGAGTTTTCATTCCCATTGCATTTACAGAATGTAAGATGATTTTCTGTTTGTTTGTTTTTTGTTTTTGAGACAGGGTTTCACTCTGTCATCCAAGCTGGAGTGCAGTGGTGCGATCTCGGCTCACTGCAACCTCTGCCTCCCAGCACCTCTGGCTTGAGTGATCCTCCCACCTCAGCCTCGTGAGTAGCTGGGATTACAGGCGCATGCCACCATGCCCAGCTAATTTTTTCTTACTATTTTTATTTTTTATTTTTTATTATACTTTAAGTTCTAGGGTACATGTGCACAATGTGCAGGTTTGCTACATACGTATACATGTGCTGTGTTGGTGTGCTGCACCCATGAACTCGTCATTTACATTAGGTATATCTCCTAATGCTATCCCTCCCCCCTCCCCCAATCCCATGACAGGCCCCGGTGTGCGATGTTTCCCGCCCTGTGTTCAAGTGTTCTCATTGTCCAGTTCCCACCTATGAGTGAGAATATGCAGTGTTTGGTTTTCTGTCCTTGCAATAGTTTGCTCAGAATGATGGTTTCCCGCTTCATCCACGTCCCTACAAAGGACATGAACTCATCCTTTTTTACGGCTGCATAGTATTCCATGGTGTATGTGTGCCACATTTTATTTATCCAGTCTATCATTGATGGATATGTGAGTTGGTTCCAAGTCTTTGCTATTGTGAATAGTGCCACAATAAACATATGTTTGCATGTGTCTTTATAGCAGCATGACTTATAATCCTTTGGGTATATACCCAGTAATGGGGTGGCTGGGCCAAATGGTATTTCTAGTTCTAGATCCTTGAGGAATTGCCACACTGTCTTCCACAATGGTTGAACTAGTTTACAGTCCCACCAACAGTGTAAAAGTGTTCCTATTTCTCCACATCCTTTCCAGCACCTTAGTATTTTTAGTAGGGACAAGTTTTTTCCATGTTGGCCAGGCCGGTCTCAAACTCCTGGCCTCAAGCAATCCACCTGCTTCCACCTCCCAAAGTGCTGGGATTTCAGGTGTAAGCCACCGTACTTGGCCCCAAATGCTTATTAGTTTTTTAAAAATAAGTTTCCTCTGAACATATCCAGAATAAATATTGACTAGAAAACCCAAATAAAAGTAGTATGAGAAATTTTAAATTATGTGCGAACTTTAATAATTTTTTCTAGCAAGTCAGTGGCCCATAAAAAGCCTCTAATAATAAATAGTCCAAGACCTGTCCATTGGACCTGGGTAGAGTAAAAACAGGACATGAAGGCCTCACTTTATTCCTTCTGTTGGAACAATATGGGTGGTCCCTCAAGCTGGGAAGCAGAAATACCAACATTTTCTCTGGAATGGATCAACCAACCACGTGCAAAGCAAGATGGTGCCTGGGGGAAAGAGGTTTGAAGGAAATTTACTCACAAGTGCAGCACAGGCCTTGCTTGCGGACGCCCATGAGCATAATATGGCAGAAGTTGCAGTAGGTTGGTTTCTTGAAGTGCTTCATGGTCCAGGCGTGCCGCCCATCCCCTTTGGAGCCCTGCAGGGGTAATAGGAGGTGAGATTCCCAAGCTGGCCACCCTGAGATGGATGAAGCCAGGGGCTGCCTCTTGCACGTTCTTCCTTTTCCTAAATAAGACTTTTTTTAATATTTGGAAGATGAGTTATTGATATTTTTTACTGTTTTAAATACAAATAAAAACAAAGTTTTTTGTGTGTGTTTTAAAAATTAGCAAATATTAAAAGCAAGAAACATTTGAATGGGAGTATGTGTATGTGGGATAAAATAAACCCTCTCCCACATGGCTGGCAGAAGCATACACTGAACAACAATCTGATTATCTATCTATCTATCTATCTATCTATCTATCTATCTATCTATCTAT